CGGCTAGCCGGTCAGCTAAGCCGATCTAGTCGACTATCATCGACTACGGCTATAGCCGGTCAGCTAGCCGGCTATAGTCTAACCGAGCCTAATCGAACCCATCCCTAGTTACAGACCATCACATAGACTGCAATACATCGCTACGGCGATAAATTATAAAACCCTAATTTAATTTGCAATATAACCATTCACTTCATAAAATTTTCAATATCACTCCGTTCCTAGTATGTTTTAATTTATTTCCTGGCTTAAAATTTTAATTATACTGCTTTATTTAACTATCAAATTTTTGTATGAGAAGAAAGTCATGATGTATGTATATCAAAGATTAGATTTTTACTGGTTGCATTTGAATAAAGTAACTAATTGCTAAAAATAACATATATATTTATTATTTATTGACAGTATAACAAGTATTGAAAGTCTTTTTAAACCTGCGATTAAAACTCAAATTTTTATAAAAAAAATTGAACATTAAAAACTCAAACATCGTTCTGGTTTGCTTCATGATTAGCATATTCACTTCGTCTATTACGAAGGTATCAGATAATTACACCCAATATAATAGCCACCAATGAGATACAATATGGAACTAACATTGCCTTCATTAGGCGGGAAAAGTGGTGCAATAACAATTAAAATTATTATTAAAAGGTAAATTATAATAAAAGGGTTAGGTATTGAAAATTCAGGACCCGTATCCCTTCCTAGTCTTTGCCTTATAATCTAAATAACATACAATTGATACAAATATATTTAGTAAAATGAATAAACCAAAAACATGAATTTGAACTATTTAACCTACGTATAAACAACATGCGCTTATAGCATGAAAAATTAACGTTGAATATTGCGATGCTTCAGTGAAAAGATCAAAAAAATTATATAAATTTTTTATCAAAGTAATCATGCTTAAAATTAAGCAATAAAAAAATATTGCCACTAATGGATTAGTTAATGTATCACGGTTTCTTCTATAATATTGGATATCCTCTTTGGCATGAAATTAGTTTGAGCAGCATAGTTTATAATTCGTGAATAACTTTAAAAATTTTGAGATATTAATTCAATTTAGTAAAATTCTTAACTAATTTGCATGATAATTGGTAATCGTACACACGTGAAAACCATTGCACTAACGCATCCAAAACCAGAAATTGCAACAAGTATCGACATAAGCTTTTCTCCAGCTCCATCAAATAGTTCTTTACCAAAACGTATTGCAATTGGAATACTCTCATGATTAGCAACATTATACCCAACCACTGTTATATAAGCAGCATTTGTTAAACAAACTAAACAAAATAATTTGTAGTTAGAAATAATAGATAAAATAATCTAAACGAATCATTATAAAATCGTGACTTAAAAAGTAAAAGGGAAATAATGACACTAATAAGGGAAGGATATTTCAGAATAAGAGAAGGATATTTCAGACTATCAGGCCTTGGGTTGAATTCTCCAATTAAATCTATAAAAAGAAATTTTGTATCAATTATGTTTAAAGTCGAATTTAGTCTAGTAATGGGGTTTCAAATTAAAACAGAGTATCTTATTTATTTTTCAGATTTATAATTCAACATAATAAAAATGCTATTTAAAAAATTCAACTTATTTCTGAAATGTGCCACTTTTTTTTTAATTTTGAAACCCCTAATTAACGTAATTGTAAAAAAATTTCTTACAATTAATATTATCCCATCCTTGAATATATACGATAAATTAAAAATATAATTTAGTAGATTGTCAATTTTACACATAATATGCTTATTAACACACCTTCATATAAGAATAATATCTAAGTTTAAATTTACGTAAATTTTGGTTAAATATTAGAAAATTCGCATATAGATACTATATATAATTTACCTTTATTATAACACTTCCATATGCACCAAGCTCATATACACCACTATTAGATGGTTTATTAAAAATATCAATCCAATTAATATGATTAGTCCCTAATTTAACTAATCCAACTATGGAGACAAAAAGTAAGAAAATAATCTTAATCACGGCTAGCGTTTGATTTATGATGTCAGATACTCTATCAGAGAGTATTTGATATATAATGATAAATAATAATATTGCTCCCGAAACAATCACGGTACTACAAATTCAAAAATCATATCATTATGTTAATTAATAAATTGTATGTTTGTTTATCAGTTTTGTACACCCAATCGAACATTAAAATCGGACAGAAGTTTGGTTTTACTATTGTTATAATGTGTTTATACGTTATGCTGCTGAGTGAGGCTGACAGGATAGCCCAAAGCCTCCCGATAGGGTAAATGGCACGTTAAAAAAATTTGGCATATCATTGACCAAAATTCATGCCATGCCATAAGATATACTCAATTTGGATTGGTCAGTTTCATGTGATTCGAGTCGTGGTTCAGAGTTTTTCAGTCTTTAATTGTTTTTTACTCGGAGTTTCTTATGTTGTTGTTATATAACCCAACTTTTCTATATAAGTTGCATGCCTTATTGGCTATTTTGAATTCGGTGGCATGCATGTGACTTCCGTGCCATTCACCCTACTCCCAGAAGATCATATTATAAAACCTTAAATATATAAAAGCCTTGTTCCGTTAATAAAAGCGGGCGTTTTTATAAGCTCACTGGTCATCATATATAGTAATAATGTAATAATAATGATGTATCTCTTTCTAATTTCAAATTGTCATTACGTAGCAATCGAGTTTCAACAAGTTACGGCTGGTGCTAACTGCATATTTATGTGACCGCCTTATGTAACGATATCCAAATCAGGTATTCAACCCGATAATAAATTCAAAAAAAAAAAAGCTTACATTTGATCATGATTAAAGTATCTCTAAAAGCGTAGAGAAGGAATTGAGTGGAACCATAAAATTCAGCTACTATTGCTCCTGGGAATGTTACACTATTATAAGAGTGGAACTGATTATTCGTATGTACTTACATGAATAGTAGGTGTATTTAAAAAATTTACGCACAAGATTGCAACAAAGCTAAATACATGACCAAAATTTTTTTTTGGATAGAACGCATCGGTAATGTATTTTTGTTCGCCTATTCCACTATGCAACGACCTAATTCCCAACTGTAAAATAAATAAAATCAAGCAGTTTTAATAATATTGAAATTATAACCAATTTTGTAATTCATTAATCATTCATCATTTTATTACCAATTTACCTCAATGTAGACTGAACTGCCTAAAAGACTAATAATGCCGCAAACAACATAAAGTACAATAGCAATTCCTGGCGAATGAACCAGTATCCATATGCTTTCAGGATTGAAAATTCCTATTTAAAAATAATAATAAGCCTTATTGTAAAAAAGAAAAAAACTCAAACTCAAACAAACCTGCTCCTATAATATTGTTAATATTATACCCTATTCCATATAATATTCCACAAGTTTTTTTATAGGTTGTAATTCCTTCATTATCTTCATTGATATTATTCATATTAATTTAACGTTCTTTTGAGCTCGAATGCTGAAGTAGAAGTTATTAAAGGTCTGAAAGCGGTTTAAAATAGAAGCTTTATAGAAAAAAATCTCTTGGAGTTGTTCGGAAAATCGACTCCGTCTCTAACCTTTAAAGGATACTTATTTGATGAATGCGTTTTTTTATAGGTTTTTAATACGATAATTTTCAATAAAATTTTCTATTTTTTACATCCCGTACGAACGCTGTTATGAAAACAGTACAACCATAAACCCTGTTCGGAAAATAAACTCTGCTCCGAACATATTTTTGGACAATGCCTACAATAACTGTAAAAGCTTTTTTTATGGGGAAGAAATTTTAGGAATTTTAATTTATGTCCTGGTATCTATGCAAATTGACACAAAAATTAAGGTTTTGATTCATTTGGTTACTTTTCTGTAAACATTTTGAAGATCATATCAGAAACATAATTTGGGAATGTTCTAGGAAAACCTCTTTTGACAGCTATGTAATACGGGCTTTCCTAATCCAATCCCAATTCATAGATTAGAGTTGTGTCATATGCATTATGCAAGTGATGTTGCTACATTAAGCGATGCAAGTTGCTTAAAATTAAAAATTCACATAGAATTTATTATGCAATTTTGATCAATACAATTATCACCAACAATCACTTTATAGACACTTTATTTCACTGGCAAGATTATTTTATAGACACATCCGTTATATAAATTTAATGATTTATTATATTTTCAACCCTGATAAATTCTCAATAATACAAAATCAGTTCACAGTGGATATCGGTTTTGAGAGGTCATAGTATACTATATAGAATTACGTCATGCAACATAATGTTTCATTATGTGATGCAAGGCCAAAAAACATAGTATTCGCACATCTCTATGTTAGATAAATTATTTAGAAAGAAATATCAATCATAAAAAATATCATTAATAATCAAAGTGACTGTGTTAATAAGTATACATTTATTTTTAAAATCATTGTTATCACTTGGTGAGACATCTCAGTTGTAATGTCAAGAGTTTATATAATGATATCTAAATGATTACTTATGTAAATATATACATTTAAAGAACAAAAAACTATAAATACTTTTGGAAACATTGAAAAGTAATTCCTATTAATAGATGTCACTGCTTTTTAGCACCAGCTTAGTGTACAATTGACTAATTGCTACGCAATACAAAAGCGAAATGAACAGTAAAAAAAAGTAATAACAATGAAATAGGCAACAGCAATGGTACGCCAACGGATTTACTTATTTCTGCAAGTGATACAACATGAAAGGCAGCAAAATTTGTCGGGATTTTCAAAAAAGCCTTCGATTTCACGTTACATAAAGGTTACACCTGAATTTGAGATCTATATAGAAAATTTCTTTTTTGGGGTTGTATCACTTGCTGTATACGCCAACTTTCGTGTCTTAAAATATTCATTGCACAATTTTATTATATACATTGACCTTTCCAACTCTAAATATAACTACAAATAAATTCCGGTTGCTGTCACCGAAGGTGACAAATAGATTATTTCAACAAATCAAATAAATTTTTTTTTTAAAAAACACACTCTAAAATATAGATTCTGCTGAGCAATTGAACAACATTTTCAATCTAATTAATACGTAATTTACATAGGAGATACAGTTTGAAGTTTAAAAATCTTATATAAACGATTATAAAAAATTATCAAATTGTATCTCCTCCATAACTTAATATTAATTTGATTAGAAATTTTACATGATTACTCAATAAGACCTATATTTTAAACTAAAATAGAATTTTTTCTTATTATAGAAATTTTTAATAATATTAATAGGTATTTACTATAGATCATTGTGATCATTACACAAAAAATTATATGTTCAATTTTTATATATTAAATATTTACATTGAATATTGGACACTCCAATTAGTCAAGTGCCTAGTCATGCATTGCATTACAAATTTTATATGAAGCATCAAATACTGTACATGTTTTTTATATATAAAAAATAGAAAAATCTATTTGTAACAGCCTGTTACGCTGCTTATTTGTAACAGCCTATTAGTGTTAGGGTTAATAGGTAGTAGGGTTAGTGTTAGGGTTAGTAGGGTTAGTATTAGGAATAGTGTTAGAGTTAGTGTTAAGTTAGTGTTAGGTTAGGTTTAGAGTTAGTGTCAAAATTAATACAAAATTGCGAGAGGAACATTTTTTATTAGTAACACAAAAGAGATTATCTTAGTAAAATTTTGAGTTATAAATCAAACTGTTACAAATAAGCAGTGTAACAGGCTGTTACAAATAGATTTATCCTAAAAAATAATAAAAAAATTCAATATTAAACAAATTTTAGTACATTAATTAGAAAATAAACTATTTACTATAAAAATATTTTGTAATACTAGATCAAATTATATAATTATAAACTAGTGTAATTTTAATTTTAACTGGGTTAAATAGCTAAAAAATCTTAAACAATTCTAATATTTATAATTATTGCAGTTTTTGAAATAGTTGAAAATGAGTAAAAAATTTTTTTGAATATACCCATATACTGCGTATGATTTATACTAGTATTACATTGGAAATTGGCTAAAGTATTTTACTAATATTCATATTGACACCCTACCCTATCTGTACTATCATACACAGGCCCCTATTATCTTAATTGTTACTCTCATACTCATCACTTCTAATTGCTATATCAGTCCTCATAGTAATGGTGTAAAGATTAATATCAGCACATGCTGCGACATTAATAGAAGTCCTGAAAGAGCTTAATAGCTGCTGTGTCAACGATCCTATTACTTAATTGGCTTTATTATCATCTTTACCTAAACAAAAGTCATATTTAGCCCATGCCATCAATACGGATGAACAAGAAATGAACAAACATGAGCAAAGACAGCTGAGAGTGTGAAGCTATTACTATTAATCATGACAGATCAAGGCCTATTGAAGACAAAGATCTGAAGGAAGTATAAGAATATCTGTAAAGGAATTGGAGTTAAAAAGAATGAGCAATAGGTGAAATAACTGATCAATAGATAGCAATAGATTCATTTACTGTCACTATAATTGTTAATACCAACTTCGTTAATATCAACCTAAGCCAAAAACTAAAATTTATGAATTTTTATATATCAAAATTCCTTCTTATATATCAACTTTAATATAAACACTTGTTAATATTACTATCAACATAATTTAAAATAGATTCAAATAAGTTGATATTAATGAGAGTCATCTGTAGTAGTAATAGTTATTTAAAGACTGCAATTTTGCCTTCAGAGTAGTTTCTTTAGTCTTTGATTTCCTTTTAATATTTATATATCTTCATATATATAATTTCTTAATAGACATTTTTGAATTCTCCTTGTAACCAAATACTATCTTCATATAGTATTACTTCTGTTAAATAAAATACTTCATGTCTTTATACACATTAAATTCATAAAGTTCAATTCACGTATGACTTATAATTCTTGTTATCAGAGTTCCGCAAAATCAAATCAAATCAAATATTTAATAGATTTGAATTTGATTTGATTTTTCAAATCAAATATCAAAATTATTTGAATTTGATCAATCAAATCAAATATAATATTTATTTGAATTTGATTTGATTTGATTTAATATTTGACATTACAGAAAGTGGTAGCATGTTTTGTCACATGATAAAAAATAGCATATATTTGATTGATATGTATATTTGTTCCACATTACACCGATTCTGAATTGACAAGTGTCATTTTACAATTTTTACTAATTGTGAAATAGCCTAGGTCAATTCATAATGAAGATCATGAGACCACAGTAATATAATAAATTATTAAGTATTATATTATTTACTGGTAGCTAGGCATGTCCAAATGTCTGTGTTTAAGGTAACTCAATACATTATAAATTGGAATAGATTGGCTGCGCAACTAAAACTCAGCAGATCGACAAAATTCCGGAACAGAATTAACAAATATTGTTAATAATCTAGTAATCTACATGCTAAATAAAATTCCCCAGACTCTAATTTTGCTACAATGTAGTTAGTTATTATTATCCAACCAACTCTGATGAATTCCAACCTAAACTTTGGACGATTTTCTGAGTTTTGGTTGTTCGACTAATCTATCTGTAAATTGCATGATCATACCACATTGGGATTTTTGCTAAAAATATAATGTGGAACAATAATTTTATATTGAGATAAAAAGAATGGTTCAGAAATTATTTGAGCATTGCCATAAGAAAATGAGACTTCAGACTTCAATCCAATCATTTATTATTTATAAAATTCAGCCCGAGAAAATCTGATCAGATATACATATAAATACATGTCATAGATGTTACTATGGGATGCCATGAATGAAGTCACAGGGCATCCATTTGTCATGAGACAGTGGTCCGGGTCCATGATCTGGGTTATTGTTTGGTAAGTATAATGTATTTGTGATGATTATCAGGTAGCTGATTTTGGAAATATGTATGTAGAGGTGATGAGGAATATTGAGTTCGTAAAGGCCATTATTTAAGTTAGGAGTGTGTGGAAATTGTTCTCCCTCTTTTGTCTTTGCTGCTAGCTCGACGAGAGTCTGGCTTTTTGTTTCCACCCACCCACCTCTGGTTTTGAGTTTTTGGTTTAGGTTTAGGCTCGCTAGCCTGGGTGGGTAGAAAATTTTTATACGCTGACCCATAGGATCATTTTGGATTCCTCGTGAGTTACGATACTAGTACTGTCTGTGAATCACGTGAGCAGCGGAGCGGAAATCCCGTATATTAGATGTTTCAGGTCAAGTGACAATTGTATTATCAGGTTTTTAAAGGCCAAATCTGGTAAAAATAAATTATAATATTGTAAGATTTACTCCCCTCATTTATAATAGTTCATCAATTGGAATAACAATTTATTATTTGTTTAATTTTTATTTAATAATACAACACACTATTCCATACTTAAATTATAATTTAAAAATTTTCTAGATTACAAGAAAAATATCTTTGCTAAGACAAAAT